AAATAGGATGAATTATAAAAGCCAAAATGCATTTATCCAGATAGAATAGTTCGATTACTGTCTGCCCATTACGATTTTAGTGACAGGGGTGCAATGGGGCCGTGAAGGGGTGTGTGTCGTGAAACCTTATAAGTGTAGTGAGTGTTGGTATAATAAGCCTAAAGTAAAGACGTAGTGTGGGATCACCTAGCCTAGAGCCAAGTGCATAAAATTTATCATAAAATATCGATTCAATTAAAACAACAGCTAAAAACAATACCTTCTGTAGTACAAGTTCGAATTATCCTATAAAACTAAGGGTCCTTATGTTGATTTGAAATTTCTCTTTTCTGAAATACAGAATTTGAGTCACTTCTCTAAATTCATCTTTACAAAGCTCGGGTTTAAAATATTTAAGTTTTGGTTCTGTAATTTAATAATACCTTTTTACCTGGTGAAGTGACGTCTGGTGTCTGTGTTGTTTAATAAAATAAGCTCGTCTTGTTTGGATGAGTCCTCCGCCGACCAAATTTAATCAGTGTATTAGCCAAACCACACCTACTGTTAAAATGTGTTTTTCTCTAGGCGCGCGCTCTGGTGAGTCAATTACGTCGTACGTCCAGGGTCACAGGCCACACTAGGTTAAGGCGCAAGCACCTATGGATGGATGCTTGGTTCTGCACGTGACAACTTTTAAGTAACGTCATAAACTTCAGACTTTCGAAAATCGAGTCAAAAGCCAATCAGAAACGTGATCTGATTGAAGACCTTCTTTGATATCCAATCAATAGTTGAGAGACTGACTGGGATCTTGACAACACGATTCATCTCAGGCTCATCTCCAAGCTGAGATTCATGCGATAATGTAAAAAGTTCACCCATTTCGCCTTCAGAGTCTTATATCAACTGGACACAAGATCGCACAGGTGTTGTCGCGTGAAACTTGCGCGATTAATGTCAGAGTTCAAGTCAGGGTAAGTTTAAGTTCAACAAAAATATTTATCTACTGCTCTGCTTTCATTTTAATGATGAAAATTTAGTTTCTATATTTATAAGTAGACAAGTAGTTGACTAGTGTATATATACATATATATATTACATACGTATATATTAAAATGGAGATAGAAAGATACACAGATATAGGGTTAATAGTTTTACTATTTATTTGTTACAGAGGATAGATAGTTAAAGATAAAAGATACTTAAAGAGCAGATATGCAGGTAATATTAGTTTTAAACGAATTAAACAGATAATAAATTTACGATGTTAACTTGGTAACGTTATCTTTATATGTGGGTATACCTGCGTTTGTTGCACAGTATATTTTTTGGACTCAAATACTAGGGGGGGATGCAGAGCAATTCTCACAGTTGATCGGCTTTTATGTAGCCTCTGTACATAAAGTATAGGAGAGTAACTACAATTTTAAACAATGTTCTGTACATAAAGTATAGGAGTGTAACTACAATTTTAAACAATGTTCTGTACATAAAATATAGGAGTCATTGTTTAAAATTGTAGTTACCTCTGTACATAAAGTATAGGAGAGTAACTACAATTGAATGTTACTGTGAATGTATTGTAGCATAGGATAGTACAATTGTCTTATATTTTGACTGATCACTATTTGCAAATACCAGCATATAAACCGTGTAGTCCTTATGGTTGACAAAATGAACTCGTTATACGTGTATGACTCGAAGCCTAAAATATAAATGTCAGGAGTTCAGACTTTTGTTTACTCCTTATTGTTGTGGTTCTTTTCTTTTTACTTCCTGTGATACGACAGAGACCCCCCCCCCCTTAGTGACACAGTGGAATGTTTACGGACTTACGACGCTAGAAACCGAGTTTCGATACCCGTGGTAAGCAGAGCACAGATAGTTCATTGTGTAGCTTTGTGCTTAACTACAAACAAACAAACCGACAGCGTCCAACGATGATTACGACAGAATACCGTTCTGTCGTATAGTACGCATTTCATATCTGGACTAAAAAAATTTGAAAAAGGTGCGCACTATACGCGGGTACGTACTGTAAAAATATGACAAATATAATTAAGTACTATAACGCGTTTATTCCATAACAAATCTTATTAGATATTCAAGTGCTTGGAATGTAAGATGGATTACTCAACTATTACATACTTAATAGTTTCGTTTCGAGTTTACTTACTGATCATAAGCGTTATTTTATTGCAAGTTATAGCTTTTACAGTAAGGAAGAATAATTTTAAAACAGGTACGACGTTTAATAAGAAAAAAAAACTTGTGTATTTGAGAATGATCTCACGAATAATCGAAACGTTGTACTTATTTTAAAAAATGTTTTTCCTTACTGTAAAAGCTGTAACTTATAATAAAATAATATTACATATTTAGTATTATTTATGTACACAAATGTAAAATATCAGTTTATGTAATTCTATACTATTCGTATTTATGCTTGCATAAATATTTATATTACAATTGTCTGATTACTGAAACTGAAAAACAACTATGCGTTTTCCTATTTTACAAAGATAACAAAGAACCCAATTCCGTAAAGGAAGTGCTAACTTCTAGATTCTGAGTGCGAGACATTCGTATCCTCACCAATAATTTTAACATCAAAATAAGTCAGATTTAGTACGACCACTCATTCTAGAGACTTACATCAAGAACAAACAATGTATCACCTAAATATATGTAACATGTGACATAAAATACACCCAAATATGTGTAACATGTGACACAAAAATACACCCTAACATATGTAACGTGTGACACAAAAATACACCCCTAATATATGTAACACGTGACACAAACAATAAACCATAATATATTTAACACGTGATATAAAAATACAACACCTAAATATATGTAACATGACACAAAAATACATCCTAATATATGTAACACGTGACACAGAAATACGCTCTAATATATGTAACACGTGACACAGAAATACGCTCTAATATATGTAACACGTGACACAGAAATACGCTCTAATATGTGTAACATGTGACACAGAAATACGCTCTAATATATGTAACACGTAACACAGAAATACGCTCTAATATATGTAACACGTGATATAAAAAATATACTCTCATATAAGTAACACGTGTTATAAAAATATATTTAAACGTACGTAATATGTGATATAATAAAATACACCATCAAATAGATATAAGTAAAACGTGATATAATACACCATCAAATAGATATAAGTAACATGTGATATAAAAATAAACATAACAATTGTTTGTTTGTAATTAAGCACAAAGCTACTCAATGGGCTATTTGTGCTCTGCCCACCACGGGTATCGAAACCCGGTTTTTAGCGTTGTAAGTCCACAACATACCGCTGCGCCACTGGGGGGGGGGCAAACCTAACGAGAATGATAACACTAAATTATATACAATGTTTTACCAAGTGATTTTTTTGGTCCTTAAGTAAGATTATTAGCTACTTTCCTCATTAACACTACTTTGTGTCAATACTAAGAACTGATTACTCTTTGGTGTAACTGAACTAAATTAAAGGAAGAACTTGTAACATGAAAATTAAAGTTTTCTTTATGGATAAAACAAGTAATATGTTTTCTATCCACCTGACGATGCTAGGTAAACCTAGCAAAACGTCGAATTTTTGAAAACTAAAAGGGTTTTAAAAAACATATTATTTGTTTAATCCCTAAACAAAACTGTAACTTTGGTGTAACTGTTACATGTTTTTGAAGAATAGGCAATAATACTAATAACAACGGTAAACACACTACCTTACATACAATGCTACAGTTAGCTATCGTATATACAATAATCTAATAACAACGGTAAACACACTACCTTACATACAATGTTACAGTTAGCTATCGTATATACAATAATACTAATAACAACGGTAAACACACTACTTTACATACAATGTTACAGTTATCTATCGTATACACAATAACACTAATAACAATAATAAACACTCTACATACAATGTTACAGTTAGCTATCGTATATACAATAATACTAATAACAACGGTAAACACACTACTTTACATACAATGTTACAGTTAGCTATCGTATATACAATAATACTAATGACAACGGTAAACACACTACCTTACATACAATGCTACACTTATCTATCGTATATACAATAATACTAATAACAACGGTAAACACACTATATTACATACAATGTTACAGTTATCTATCGTATACACTAGTGCGACAACATCAATTCAATCTCGGTGTCGCATTTACCATTTCTCGTTATTTGATTTTACAATGATTTTACAACTGACTTCTTCGTGTAGTATTAAGTTTGATTAATGCAAATATCATATTATTAACCAAGACCCTCACTTATTCCCCCGAATCGTGAAGAAAGTCTCAGTAATTGCCAGATTTAACTGTAAAAATGGGTAACTCCAAACTTTTTGTTGATGAGATATTCGTGCAAAGCAACTCGAGTGCTATTTGCGCTGGACGTCCATAATATTGAACTGACAGACTAGAGTGAAGGCAGATGGTCAACAGCACTGATAACTCTTCGGCTACTATTGTCTGATTGAATAGTTTGATTTGACCGTCACCCTTATAACGCACCCATGACCCTAAAATGCGGATCGCACTTTTTAGTTTTGTTTTTGACGATAAGAAGACACAAACTTGAACTCACAGATGGCAGTCCAGTACGCTAGCCACTGGGCAGCGCTTGCCCCAAGTTCGAACTCTTATTTCCTCACTGAAAAGACACAAACGAAGAAAACTTTAGTTACTGCTTGATCTAACTAAAAAAATTAGTTAATTCAAACTTTATATTCCCAATTGAAAGGTAAAGACAAAGAAAATTTTAGTTATTTTTACATTGATCTTTAAAGAAATGAAAATTCAAACTCTCTTTTTTGCCATGAATAAGCACAAGTGAAGAAAACCTTAGTCACTACTAGATTTGATTATGGAAATTGGTAAATTCAAAAATATGTATATTTGCTATTAAAGGACAGAGACAAAGAATATCTCAGTTATTACTGCATCTAACTATAAAGAAGGGAAAAACCCAACTCCCCTTTTTTGCAATGAAAGGTAAAAAACGAGGAAACTGTCTGTTATTACTATATATGTATATATAACTATAAAGATTGATAAATTCAGACTTTCTTTTCGCACAAATAGAAAAAAAAAGTCTTAGTCATTGTTGAATAATCTATATAATAAAAGCCACACTCTGTTCGTAACGCTCGACTCTCTGCTGGTAACGTTAAAATTGTCTCAATGGTTTATCTGAAGTATAGAGTTCATATCACCTTTAGTTCCTTCCTCTTAATATTCAAGTTCTGTGAATTTCAAAGAACTGATTAAGTTCAAGTAACAGTCTTACAAACGAACAGTAGCTATAGAGCTGTTACATTCCATCTTTTGGTGTTTTTCTTTAATGTTCGTTAAGCTCATATTAGTGGTCCCAATTAGAAGACTATGATAACCGACGCGAGAGATTGCTACAAAATAAGTTATTCACAAAACTAGCATTAACTCAATAGGGTGGGATATTTTTCCTACAGTTACTATCTATCTGTTTAGAAGCACAGAATCGGGTAACTTGGCAGAATTTATAAATATAAATGTAATATTTTGTTAACACCCGTGAATCAACCGCGGAAAGATTTTGGGTCTTATATGGATTTAATTGTTTCGTAAAAAAAATACCTTTGAATATATGTAATTATCTCTTTAGTTCTTTTGATGCATATATGTAGTTGAAAAGAACGTAAAGATACCTAGAATGAACACAAGAAACGACAAACAAAACAGTAATTACTTGCCATTTTCACAAGTTTCAGTAACGTATTGGAGTCGCTCTTTAATTTTGCATATAGGTTTGTTTTTTTTTGTGCGTGTATATATAGCTCTTCTATTTCATAAAAATCTGCCTATACTGAAGCTAGTAAATCGCTATTCTTCACTAGTCGGCTCGTGTTTTTTTATATCGGTTAACATGTTGGCCATATGTATTCTACAGTTTGATAGAACATGTATTTTTAATGTTGTCGTTGTTCTACATTTTAAACATACATTTATTAGATATTATAACTTTTTTTTTTTGCATCAAATAGTAAGGACGTACGTAATAAGTTGTTATAAATCCCGTATGGGGTATTAATGTTTTTTGACACATATAATTGCCTTTAACATTGGAAATGTTAGTGGTTCGTTAGGGCTGTCTAATGCACTAGAAACGTGTAACTTACAGGAGATTAACAGTGTGCTGACAAACTGTAATTTATTAGCTAGGATTGTTGAAGATGGAAGTGAATGATTTGTATTTCGGGTTGAAAAGAATAAGGCCATCAGTCAGCCGCCGTATGTGAGGGATGTCAAGCATGATTCAGGTTTTTAGTCTTTTAGCTAACTCTAGAGGTAATGAAATGTATACGGTATAAACACGTGGAAATGAAAATCACGTGAACGTGTTTAAGATTTATTTACTCTTCTAACCTAACTCCGGGAGGGATAGAGGGGAGGGGAGGGGTTAAACTGAAGTGAATACGAACGAGAATATAAAATATAACAAAACAAAGTTTGCCTTTTCTTTACTGGCGGTGGAATGTTAGGATTTTCATTCAGAAATAAAAAGGGAGCCTTTTTTCTTTCTTTTGAACATTTTATTCGTGGTCTTTGTGTCTGGAGTTATTAATCATCTTGTCGTGCTTTTATGACTTGTTCTTTAGCCAACTGCTCTTTGGGATAGAAGAGAGTTTAACTTTTAAACTAGTATTAAGCTTATACAGAAAAGTCTAACAACGTATTTTGTAGCTAAATAGTATAGCTTTGGTAACAATTTTAATCGAATAATTAGTTATAAAACATATAAGCTCGTTTTTGTACAGAACATAAGGATGTTTTATACATATTACATACAGAATATTTTATATAGACTTAGTGTTTTAGTCGAATTGAATTGTATACAGGGCACTTTACATATATCACATACATTACATTTTATATAGGCTTAGGTTTTAAGCGGATAGGCTTGTATTCAGGGCACTTTAGATATATTACATACAAAACGTTTTACATACAGTTAGTCCTTTACTTGGATAGGTTTATATATAGGACATTATATATATTACATGAATAAATTTTTATATAGATTTAGTGTTCTACTTGGATAAGATTTGTTACAGGATATTTCATGTAGAACTCATGCAACAAAGAGCAGTACAGAAATTTATGAATGCATTTTTTTTTATATTTCAAAATGTCCCCAGTGGCACGACGGACTTACAACGCTAGAAACCGGGTTTCGATTCCCGTGGTGGGCAGAGAACAGATAGCCCATTGTGAAGCTTTGTGCTTAATTACAAACAGCAACAATTATTTCAAAATACAAGTAAACCTCTATGAAAAAAAAATGGTTTGTAGCCTTACAAGTTACCACTTCTCACAAACATAAGGCCCCCCAATGGCACAGCGGTACGTCTGCGGACTTACAACGCTAGAAACCTGGTTTCGATACCCGTGGTGGGCAGAGCACAGATAGCCCTTGTGTAGCTTTGTGCATAACTAAAAAACAAACAAAAAAACACAAACATAAGTACATTGAAATATTTAAAAAAGCAACTATTTATCGATAAATAGAAATTTTATTTGCATGCCAATGACTAAAATATTCTTTGCAAATAACATTTTACTTTTAATTTCACAATAAATGTCTTTAAATTTTAACTCTGTTTTTTTAATTGCATTAATGAAAATATAAATTGAATCTCTTTTAATTGTGTAAAGGAACCCAAATTATAATAGAATTCACCAATATTGAAATTAATTTGCATAATCGAAGCCACTTAAACCAATGAAAACAATTCATATACAAGAAGACCTTGATATATAACCTTGACGATCCATTGTTTCAGTTTGGCACGTTGCCAAAACATGAAGTTGGAGTGTAGCCTTAGTAAGAGGGTAGGCCACAAAGAACTGCGAATAGCGCCCCTATACTACTGTAGATGTTAAAAAAAATAATCACCTCTTGCAGCCTGTTGTGTAAATAACTATTTGAAAACTAGCGAAAATACTTGTTTCTGTTGTACTTGTGGCCCGCCCTCTTACTTGGAGGTGTAATTGGCACTTTAAAATCATGGTTCTTGCATGTAAGCCACCTTCCTACTGGGTATTTTACGTAACAAACCTTGAAGATTTAATGATTTTTATTTCGAAGGTTTTTTTATAGTTGTGTCAGCGAAAATTACAGACATAAAACACATTATTAATCAGGCGCTGTACACCCCCCCCCCCCATATATATATATATATTGAACTTGTGTACGTTCAGTGGGATTTATGAAATTAATTTCCAAAATCACTTTACACGTTGTAACATCTTGTGAAATTACTAATATTTGTAAGGTACACGGCAACAATGTATTGTTATGTCTCCGTTTGTTAATTAACTTTCCGTAACTTCGTTCCGACGAAACTTTAGCGACACAAGTTCTTTACTTAATAAAACTGGTTTATTCTTTACGAATACAACTTTACCGATACACTTAACTTC